TGCATTAAATTTGCTATAAATATAGTATTTATCAGACTTAAAAAAATCAATACGGGGTGTTATAAAAGATTTAATTATTATGAATATGAAATGAACAAAATTATATGTATCTTTTAATGGTCGTAAAGCCAACAATTTTATAAAATTCATAAGTTTTTTTTTTGGTAAAAACTACTGTATTTAATAAGCTTTTAAGAGGTATACTCAGATATTGAGTAAAATTTTTTTTTTGTAGAAATTTTAAAGGTATATGTTATAAAATACAAAGTTGTTCAAACAAGAATATCTTTAAAATTTCTACAAAAAAAAATTTACTCAATATCTGAGTATACCTCTTAAAAGCTTATTAAATACACTAGTTTTTACCAAAAAAAAACTTATGAATTTTATAAAATTGTTGGCTTTACGACCATTAAAAGATACATATAATTTTGTTCATTTCATATTCATAACAATTAAATCTTTTATAACACCCCGTATTGATTTTTTTTAAGTTTGATAAATACTATTTTTATAGCAAATTTAATGCACTTTTACGGTATATGATCAAAATTAATGTGACTATACGAATAAATGTGATATTTAAGTCTTTTTGGAAAAAAACCAAAAAAAAATTTAAAATAATGAAATGTTAAATAAAAGAGAAACTATCGACATTTCGAAAAAGTATTATAGGACATTTTTTGTTCAAAATTACTTGTATAATCACTTACTTGTATTACTTGTATAAAAAAATTATAATCTAAATTCTCGTATTTTTATAAATCGATTTAATTACAGGAGTAATTAATCTCGGATAAGTATCGGCGTAATTAAAGCGGCTACGTACACATCAGGTATTTACTTTATCGAAACGTCTGCACATTCAATTTTCATAATTATAGTTCCGGACGGAACTATGTCAGTCATCAATTTCAATTAAAAATCCGGGTTGATAGATAATCCCGAAAAAATGAAAATAGATTTAATCTCAATTTGAGAGCAAGTTTAATTTCCTTTTCATAATTGGATTTTCCTTTGTCAGATTATTATTCTTTTTCGGAACATCGCGATAATTCTCGTGATAAATGACTAGACGTATCTTCTTGGTTTCAAAATTTCATTCCCCGGAGACGGACAGGTTTAGATAGTCGATTTGGCTGAAATTTTAAAATAACTACGCCGGATCAATCTGGAATTTCCAGACTTTTCCGTGTATTTTTCTTTGCACCTCTTCGATTTGAATTTTAAATACACGATTTTCGACGATTAATTAAAATTATTTTATAATACTCTCTCGGGTGATTATTACTAATTACGAACCGTTGAAGACCAATACATCATCCGATGTGTCGCAAGTGCACCTCTAATGTGTAAAATTGATATTAATTATTTGAAACTATTAGGCAACTTTCAAAAACTTGGGAACTAAAGAGCTTTGCCGTGTTAATGGGATCAGTTCAACCATTTTCACCAGCGCTGTCTCTAATATATGATGGATTTGTTCCCAATTGTAGATAAAATCTTTTAGTAACCAACACACCAAACACCAAAGCCTTTAATACTAAACAACAACTTAAGTCCTTAAATACATTCATTGCAATATTAATTATTGACCCGCTGTGGTGAATAATTTATTCCAGAAAACCCCTACAGACAGAGTTTCCCTTAAGCTGTGTATATATTCGGACGGAATTGATTGATATTCATAGCGCCGGTATTTTCTTGCATAGAATAATTTACCAATTCGATCGCCCTCGAATGTGTGAAAAAGAGTGCGTCAAAACTGACAGGCACTAATAAATAATCGACCATCCTGAAGGGTAAGAGCAAGGATTGGGATCTTGTAGGTTTGATGGAACATTCTAGTCGTTTCCGTTAAGTGGAGTTTCCTTCGAAATTTGAATTCTACTCAATAAAAATAGCAGGAATATTTCAGGTAGTGTATTAGATAATTTCTTTTATTATCCTTTATTTGAATAAACAGAGACCGGTTTTAATGGGACGTATAAAAATCATTAAAGCGAATTTGTAGGTGTATTAATAAAGCTTCATAATGGGCCGTGATAAAAGGATTTTTGAAACAAACTTGGTGAGGCAATTTTAACCATCGACCTTTTTATAAACTGCCACTTAATGACGCAAAAAACCGCCCTTAAACATCGTTTGAGAACCAAATTTGTCTCCGGTTGTGAATTATTCATACTCCTTTTAATATTTATCCTTTGATATAAACTTTAACTTGGTCGGAGGTAGAAATAATTACTGATTTTTCCTTTGAAGGCATTGTTTCGAATTGTCGCTTTTGTCTTCGGTATAAAGTGGATACTATATACATATAATTTTAAACCTTGGAATCCGTTTTCTATCTAATGCAGACCTCTTTCGTAGGTTACGTTTTCTTTACCGGTCTTCCCAATTATTTTCCGAAATACTGTTGAGTGAATCACAACGTTCATATCGAATTACCTACCACTTATTTCCTATACAGACTAATGAAGTTCGATGTAGCTAGCAATTTATTAAATTCCCCAGGTAAGCCAATACCCCTTTTTCCTTTTTTGGAATTCTCTTCTTATTTTCGGAAGCTACAAGTTTAAACAACAAATTTTAAGAGGAAACATAATCTATGCCATAGCTCATCTTACCTGTATAATTTCCCAAATGGGCTCAATACAGAATTCCCTGTAAATTACATATAGTTTTTTTAACATGTAGTATGCACTATTAATTAAGATGAACAGTGTTAGTAAAAGAAAATAAATTTATATTCATGTCTTCTACCTGCCATAGAAATATCGAAACTCGAAGGAACTTCTCGGGCATCAAGTTCCCAGCGTAAGAGATATTCTCTATTTAATATTAATTTAAGTTTCCAAACTTTTTTTAATATCGTTACATTCCCGAATGCTCCGAAAGTTTAAAGTACCTCGGCATAATGATGTTGTATCCGCGTTTCAGGATACAACTCGAAACGTTCCGCGTATGAGACGGAATTTAATTTTATGGAAGAAAACGAGCGAATTGAGAATTTAGTACTCCGAAAGATTAAGGGAAGGTCTCAAATAATATGTAGAGCTGTTATATTTTTTGATTACGCGGGGCTATTAGGATGATATAAAGTTGCCCGTAAACGTTCGCGGAAATTATTTTCGGTTAAATATAGCGTCTAATCTCGGCTCTGCGGATAATTATATTTTTTTTTCTATCCCGCGCGGCGAAAATAATGCCCGGCCGCGATTTATTTTTCGGTCGCTTTATCCCGATTCTAATTTCTTTGTTTTCGCGCGAAATCAAATAAGCATTTCGCCGCAAATCTCGAATTTCATTTAACTCCATCTATTTCGTTTTACTTATCTCGAGAGCTTGCACAATAAACCGAAGAGGGCGAACGGAGGAAAAAAAAATGAGCGAGTCTACAATCGCCGCAACACTTTCCGGTAAATAATGTTGTCCGTTGTTCCGGAGATTTATAAAGTGGAAATTTATGGTAAACAATATCTTCAGAAAGTTTAGGATGAAAATCAGATTTATGACGGACATCTGGAGCTCAAATAAAATGAAAACCATATAACTTTAGGGTGGTAGCGTAAATGTTATCGCTACTGTTGCAGTGACGGGGTAACAGTTTGAGCAAATTGAATTACACCAAGAAATATCTGCTTTAAATCAATCCATTTTCACACTTTTATTTATTCATTTTATTCAATTAATTTTCTACCTGTTGCGTACTTATTTATAGTCAATTCAAATAAAGTCATAATGGATAACCGGATTTAGGAATTCCTAAGTACAATTTGCGTTTTACCATGCACTAAGTAATACCTAAAGGTAATAGGAAATGCCTAAAGTTAGGACAGCTCACTGGGCTTGCCTAAAACATTTAGGAAATACTTAACCATACTTTCCATGTGATTTCATGTGACTTAAGTCTTGACTGTCTTTAGACTCTTTAGATGAAAATTTAAAATGGGAGGAGAGTTTTTAGAAACTGGACGAAACTGATTTTTTTTCGCCTTTTTCGATATATAAAAATACGGCATTACAAATATTAGAATGAATTGGACATGATTTTTAATTTGATACACAGGAAGTTTTTGGAACTATTGACCGTACACATGAATGTAAATATCCATAGTCCTGGAGAAGAAGATGTAGAAATATTTTACAAATCCGTAAGGTTATTTTTCTAATAATGTACAGACTACATCTTCAGCAGATTTAAAAATAACTAACATAGTTTAAAGATGGCCCGGATCATCAACATCTCTTCTTTTCTCTCAACATATTCAATTTCGATCTCCGCTTATTCGGTTTACACATCAAAATTAGCCAATGTTACCAATAAAATTCAAAAAATTGTCAAAATCAAATTTTTACCTAGGTATTTCTTAGTAAGGGATTTCTAATGTTGGTAAAATTCGATTTAGGTAAGTAATCGATTTAAGTAATTCCTACCTTAGGAATTGCCTAGTTAGGAAATACCTAACAACATGTTGGTGAAATCGGGCATGAGAATATTAAACGAAACGAAAATAATTGACGTGAATAAATTTTGATACTCTTTTAATTTGAATCAGCTATGCCATTAGTTGAATTTCGTTGGTTAGACTTTCTCGGAAGCAACCTTTTTCAAAGTTTAATTTCAAGCGAAAGACAATCGCACCGAGATGACGGAGATTTTATATTAAAAACACTAAGAAGGGCTGGGCTAATGTTGGAAACTAATTAAGAAAAGTATTCATTTAATTGCTTTTTCTATGTAATAGTATCACGCTTTAAGAACTTTCAACGGCGGGCGGTATAAAATTAATGGAATCGTCGACCGACCGTTCTGGCTGTGCGAAATCTCTTGCGGAGGCTTATCGGCTACCGTTGGGGGCCCCATCGCCCGATAGCCAGGGCTGAACTGAGCATAAATTTCACTGTTCGCGATAAAGCACTAAAAACGTAATCAGCACGTATCCAGAACCTTCAAAATGTTCCCAACTCCCGACGAACGGGGAATGTTTACTCTGATTCAATTACTTACATTGTTAGTATATTGGAAGGGGACGATAATTATCTCCGAGCCAAACACCCGAGGAATTCTAATCGTCGGCAAAAATATTGATTTATTGAAATATGAATGCAAGAAACGGGTAATTTGGAATTCCGATAGATCTCTTACGTAACGTTAAATCTAATATTTCGCAAATTTAAAGGGCGTCCCGTTCTCTCTGTTCCTTAGCAGCTCTCAAATAAGCCGCTTTCTTTTTGGAGAACGGGAATTTCCTCCACCACTTATCGAACACCGCCCATGCTTCATCAGTTACCCCCTGTACGTTATTCATCTGTATATAACTGAATATTTCCTCGGCTGTTAAGGGCTTGTTCTTTATCTGTAAAACTCTTCTAATGTGAAATATACCGTTTAGTAGGTCCCTAATGACTGGATACGTGAATCCAGTCGTAACCTGAAATCAATAACATTATTTAGTCGATAGCTGCAGTCGATTCTGGTGTAAAAAATAATGAAATAAGATAATTTAGATACAAAGAGGAGGTAGATAGGAAAATGGTTCCTCTGTTTAAGGAAAATGGTTTTGCTTACTCTAGTAATAAGAGTGACATTAATATTTCTATCCACCCATGGATCGTTCAATAGAAGCTCGCTCCACAGCATGTACAAAGTGCTGTAATCGGTCCTAGGAATTAAAATATGCCTTTCATATAGTTTGTTCAGTTGATTCGATGCTGCAGTTGGATTGCTGGTAATACCTACAAAAATATCCCGTGATAGTGCGAAAGAACCAGATGGAAAAATCCACCTACCTAGAATCATTATTCGATCCTGGTCGGTGATGTTTTTGATGAAAGCAGGAATGTACTTTCCCAACCTCTTCGGTCTCAGCAGCTTCTCTTCAGCCGGCACCCTCTTATAGAACGTTTTCTCCGCGTTGTCGAAGAATATAATCGATGGTTGCAGTAGCTTGGACATTTTCTTCACCAAATGCACCAGCATATCGATTTCGTCGTCCTCGTATATAAACGCCGTCGTCTCCAACGAAAGATCGAACAGAACGCATCGCGTGGCGTTGAAAATGGCGTTGGCCAGAACGTGCTTGCCGCTCTTCGAAGGCCCGCTGATCAGCAACGACTTGGGTCTCCGCATCTCGGTCACTCCCATCGGAAGGATTATGTTCATAACGACGGCCTGTCGCAGATCTAATAAGCTCGGCTCGTTGTCCAAGTCGCCGTCGCGCAGCTCCCAATTGTGGTAGGCGAAATCGCCGCGAAAATCGTCCAAGGACACTTTCGGGTAGGTTCTAATCACGCCGTTGTCCACCAGCTCCTGGAAGAGATCCTCGATCGAACGGTCGGAGGTTATGTCTTTGCCTCGTTTCTTTTTCTCTTTGATTTTTTTGTTCGCCGGCGGGTTGGTTTTTTTACCTGGAAGTTAATTACTAATCGTTAGAAATTGTTTGGAATGTGTATGGTTTCGTTTACCTGTATCTTCGGTGTAAGCGTTGAGTAGCATGTTTAGCTCGAGCCTCATCAATTCGTCGACGATTCTCCGGCATTCTAATTGGGTTTCGTAGATGATATCGTCGGTGATTAGATTCGTGTAGTGTTTCTCCAAAGGGTTTTTCAATTCGTCGATTTCGTCCCAATAGATCTTGTGCTCCAGAGCGCCTTGTTGCAGCAAAGGCAGGTACTTGGGCGGTTCGAAGTAGTATTTATAATGGTGCGGTAGCATGGCCTTTATTTCGGCCTGTTTCTTCTTCAGCAGCTTCTTCTTGAGCTTCTCTTCGGCCTTGCGTTTTTCGCTTTCGGCGAATTTCGCCATCTTCGCGTCGTTCTTCTCCTGCTGCCGGAGCTCTTTGAGCGCCTTGGGCCCCATGGCTTTTTCGTCGGCGATTTTCTGGAGGTACTCCTGGGGCGTGTAGGTCTCGCCTCGCATCACCACCACCGTTCCTCCGAGCACCTCCGCCGGGAACTCGTCGAACTTGTGGCAATTGTAGTACCAATCGGCGAACCACTGTCTGATTTCGTCGCCTATTTCTTCCATGATGCGGGGCCGCACGAACTTGAGGATTCTGACTTTCTCCTTTTCGATTCCCTCGACGTATTCTTTGAGCCGCTGCTCTCTCAATTCGCGTCGCTTGTTGAGGTTTTGCTCGAGTAAATCGAATTCGGCTTTGGATCTCCACGGTGGGACGTACATGCCTATCAATATTTTTCTCTGTTCTTCGTCGTACTTGCGTTGCTTGCGCGCTTTGTATCCTCTCCAGTAGGTTTGTATGATGATGGCGGCTGCTGTGTGGATTTTAATGCGTTCCTCTTCGGTTTGAGTTTCGACGTTTTGCACTTGCCCCAGGGCTTTGGCTATGGCGAGGGCTCGCATTTTTTGCTTCTCCATCACTATCGAGTGTTTGATGCCGAAGAAAACGCGCTCCTGTCGCGCCCTTTCGGCGGTCTGGATCTTCTTCACAGCCAAATTGAAAGCGTTGCGTTTCCGTTCTTCCTCGGGCGATATTTGTATCCGAGAAGCGCCGGGCCGGGGCGGTCTCCGTTTCAGTCTCTCCGCTTCCAGTTCCGCTTCTCTTTTCAATCGTTCTATTTCTTCCAGTTCTTCCGGGGTGAAGTAAACTTTCTCGCCTTGTTTAAATTTCTTCAGCATCTCTTCGACCGTGACGGGCCGGTTGGTGAATAAGGTCGGGTGCAGGATTTCGATCTCCTGAGGTATTAGTTTGAGTTCGATGAGATTGCCGTCGAAATAATGGATCTCGCTGTAGTCTAAATTTCTTAATTCGTCGTTGAATTCCATTAATCTTATCGCGATTGCGTCTACCAGTTTTTTTACTGTGAGCCTCTTCTGCGGTTGGACCATTTGGTCCAAGCAGGTGTCCAGCTTCTGGTACAAAAGGGAGTATTGCACGTACCAATCGCCCAGATTGTAGCTTCCCAATTTTCGGGTGTTTATCAACGGCTCTTCTGCCCTCCATACCGAGTCTTTTAAGTGCAATTTTTCTAGTTCTTGTTTGTTGAATATCCACATCTGGTTGTTTAGCTTGGCCATTATGGTTAAATTTAATTAGTTTAACTACGAAAAATAAACGGCGTTTGACTAAAAATTTTATGTACAAAAATTTCAGTCAGAAATGACACAATTCTTCTCTTATATTTGAGTTAATCGTTCAAAAAATTAATTAACGTCGATTCGCAATAAAAATGCAGAATTTATGCCCGATTTCACCAACCAGTTCCTAAAGTTAGGTAATACCTAAACCGGATTTAGGAATTCCTAAGTACAATTTGCGTTTCACCATGCACTAAGTAATACCTATAAAGGTAATAGGAAATGCCTAAAGTTGGGACAGCTCACTGGGCTTGCCTAAAACATTTAGGAAATACTTAATCATACTTTCCATGTGATTTCATGTGACTTAAGTCTTGACTGTCTTTCTACTCTTTAGATGAAAATTTAAAATGGGAGGAGAGTTTTTAGAAACTGGACGAAACTGATTTTTTTTCGCCTTTTTCGATATATAAAAATACGGCATTACAAATATTAGAAAGAATTGAAGATGATTTTTAATTTGATACACAGGAAGTTTTTGGAACTATTGACCGTACACATGCATGTAAATATCCATAGTCCTGGAGAAGAAGATGTAGAAATATTTTACAAATCGGAAAGACTATTTTTCTATTAATGTACAGACTACATCTTCAGCAGATTTAAAAATAACAAACATAGTTTAAAGATGGCCCGGATCGTCATCATCTCTTCTTTTCTCTCAACATATTCAATTTCGATCTCCGCTTATTCGGTTTACACATCAAAATTAGCCAATGCTACCAATAAAATTCAAAAAATTGTCGAAATCAATTTTTTACCTAGATATTTCTTAGTAAGGGATTTCTAATGTTGGTGAAATTGCAGTGCATAAGTTTTAAGAAATTTTTAACCGTATAACATCGTCCTGGAAAATCTCAAATGCGCGCTACGCGCGATCCTCATTGGATCGCGGGAAATTCCCCGGCCAATCGCGCAACCTCTATAACTTTGAGCTCGCTTTTAGGCGGAAAATCAGGAAAACAGAGGCAGTTTGCGTTCGGTAACTATCGAAAGGAGACCGCGGCGTTCCGTTTTGGGAAAAACTCTATCACGTGGAAAGCTTGCGATGCGACTTCGACGCTCTTGGTGAAAAACCGCGCTGCATCAGCGATGAGGGTGGTTATTTGTAGTGTGTTGTTGGTGACTTTGTTTTTGCACGGTAAGTTAAATTTTTCCAATATCCGCATGTATTTACTTACCTCGATTAATTTTCTAGTTAATTGTTTATTTATTTTATCAACATATAGGAGATATCACAAAGTTTTGTTTAATCAGGTGAGACACGTAATGTCGTTTTAGAGGAAGCTCACAAATAGGTTTAAGTTCGTGACCTCAGAAAAGTTTCTAACCAGTTTGGTCTAAATGATGGATCCCCTGTCATTATTATTAAATGATTGCCCTCTTAATGGCCGGTGTGTGGGGATTATTGTAAAACTGTTAAACGGGAACTTTTCAAGTAATTTTAGTGGTGATTGAATTAATTTCGGTTTTATGAACGTGTTATAAAACGATACAACTTTGCTGTGCGGGAATAATAATAATTTAGTTAAATAAATGTTACGGTTTATTTTTGTTTTGTTGTTACAGCAGTTAAAATTTGAATAATTAATAATTTCGTTTATTGGGTAATGAATTGAATATTTCACAAATTATTAACTGAATATCGTCACTAATTATTAATTTTATCTCTGTTATTTCAGATGTTTGATATAAATAATTAGGTCAATAAATAATAATTTTCCTGCATGAGCAATAAAATTAATATTATGAAATGTACCTAAAAAATAAACACTTTTTTTTTGAAATCGTTCATAAATAAAAAGATTAAGAATTTACCTTCAGAATTGTAATGATTGTAATAACATTTATATGAATATTTCCAGTATTTCCATTTACTATTTTTTTCTAATTTAAGAATACTTTCATGATTGAATTCTGATATAACTTACTCATAAATAGATTACCCACCTATATATTTCTATTATATTGCCTACAGTTGCCATATTATATTCCATTACATAATAGTAAAAAAATAATGTATTATTTAAGCGACTAAACCAGAACAAAACACGTCAACTAACCATTTACAAATGCTATTTTTATGGTTGGATAATCTATTATATTTTTCAATTATTTTTATTATTTATTATCATCAGTTTCAAACCAAATTATACATTATACCGTAGAATAGTATAAATAAAATTAAGAAGATAATACAATTTAACCATTGTTAATTAGTTTAGAGCATTATCTAAATTATAGTTTGCTTACCTAATAAAGTTTCAAATCTCTTGATTAATATCGGATATTGATCGATTGGAATTAGGAAGGAAAATTAGCTACAAAACCGCTTTAAGGCCCATATATTGACCAAAGTTTCTTGTAAAATTCATTATTCACTCAGGATTATCTAAAGATCTACATCTAGAACACAATGCCGGGCCCAGGAATAGCTATTAACCATGCACAAAGATATCCGTCTTCCGGTACATTTACCTTAGAAGACTATATCGTGTTCGAGCCTTGTAGAATACTGATAATACACACATTAACTCTCAACGAACACGAAATGCCAAATAAATTGCGATAAAACAACGATTTGGGCTTTTTCTTGTAAGTAATTGTTGTCTTCCTGAATAGCGAATCGGATGAACACATTATTCAAAGCGTGTATACAGGATCGTTACGATTTATTCCGTTCTATACGCCACTAAAAAGTAAACGCATTATCGTTCCATTTACCCGACGATACCAATTAAATCTAGTTAGATGGGCAGGTATATTAAATCCCCCGAGTAAAATTCGTGATTATAGGGACGAAGCGTTTTATCTGCTCCACATAAGTTAAGGAAGTTGACAAATATTGAGAATAATTTAAAAGTTGCAGGTTTTTTGATCGCCAAATTTAGTATGAATTGTAGAGGTAGGGACAAGAAATCCACTTAGATATGAGAGAAAACATTTAATTTAGCATAAATGAAAATTTGGTGATCAAAAAGTCTGTAACTTTTAAAATAATCGCAAAATTTGCGAACTTCCTTAACTTTTGTGGAGCAGTTTATTTACCTATACACTACACTCACATTTAAAAGAAAAAAAGAGTACCTATAGTTTATTAATTAAATTATAGATGATATTTAAAATATTTCTAATTATTATATACTATACGCCACTAAAAAGTAAACGCATTATCGTTCCATTTATTCGACGATACCAATTAAATCTAGTTAGATGGGCAGGTATATTAAATCCCCCGAGTAAAATTCGTGATTATAGGGACGAAGCGTTTTATCTGCTCCACATAAGTTAAGTAAGTTGACAAATATTGAGAATAATTTAAAAGTTGCAGGTTTTTTGATCGCCAAATTTAGTATGAATTGTAGAGGTAGGGACAAGAAATCCACTTAGATATGAGAGAAAACATTTAATTTAGCATAAATGAAAATTTGGTGATCAGAAAGTCTATAACTTTTAAAATAATCGCAAAATTTGCGAACTTCCTTAACTTTTGTGGAGCAGTTTATTTACCTATACACTACACTCACATTTAAAAGAAAAAAAGAGTACCTATAGTTTATTAATTAAATTATAGATGATATTTAAAATATTTCTAATTATTATATACTATACGCTCTAAAAAGTAAACGCATTATCGTTCCATTTACCCGACGATACCAATTAAATCTAGTTAGATGGGCAGGTATATTAAATCCCCCGAGTAAAATTCGTGATTAGGGACGAAGCGTTTTATCGTGAATAATTCATTTCTACGCCGTTGCGTTATTCAGATATCACTTCTGGGGCGCTTCGCTTTCGGGGGGCCCGGGCTCGGAAAGTTGCAGAGGTGTGCATTTCCTAAAAGCAAATGACCGCAAAGCCGACAGTGTGCGAACGCGATCTGAATCGCCGCAGATAAGACCTATTAGTATGACTCATTATGGCCGTTTTATGAGCCAGGATATGGCTCGTTCAAACGGTCTCGTCCGCAAATCCGCGACTCTACAACTCCGCATTTTCGACCAGCCGCAGGGACCGATCGGGAGCTTCGGCCGGGAATTTATTATCTACTAATTTCGTTGGAAAACGCCGGTAAAATGGAACATTTATGCCCGATTTCACCAACATGTTGTTAGGTACTTACTAACTAGGTAGTTCCTAAGGTAGGAATTACTTGCTTAAATCGAATACTTACCTAAATCGAGTTTCACCAACGTTAGAAATCCCTTACTAAGAAATACCTAGGTAAAAATTTGTCAATTTTTTGAATTTTATTGGTAGCATTGGTTAATTTTGATGTGTAAACCGAATAAGCGGAGATCGAAATTGAATATGTTGAGAGAAAAGAAGAGATGTTGATGATCCGGGCCATCTTTAAACTATGTTAGTTATTTTTAAATCTGCTGAAGATGTAGTCTGTACATTAATAGAAAAATAACCTTTCCGATTTGTAAAATATTTCTACATCTTCTTCTCCAGGACTATGGATATTTACATGCATGTGTACGGGCAATAGTTCCAAAAACTTCCTGTGTATCAAATTAAAAATCATCTTCAACTCATTCTAATATTTGCAATGCCGTATTTTTATATATCGAAAAAGGCGAAAAAAATCAGTTTCGTCCAGTTTCTAAAAACTCTCCTCCCATTTTAAATTTTCATCTAAAGAGTCTAAAGACAGTCAAGACTTAAGTCACATGAAATCACATGGAAAGTATGGTTAAGTATTTCCTAAATGTTTTAGGCAAGCCCAGTGAGCTGTCCTAACTTTAGGCATTTCCTATTACCTTTAGGTATTACTTAGTGCATGGTGAAACGCAAATTGTACTTAGGAATTCCTAAATCCGGCTTAGGTATTACCTAAATTTAGGAACTGGTTGGTGAAATCGGGCATTAGCGAACGATCTACGAGATGATGCTTGTTATTCGAACGGATGAATTTTTATGCAATCGCGGGAAGGATTTCTTTCTTCCACAGCGCGCGATTTATTTCCACTCTGCCGGTCGGTGGGTTTCTTTTAATTATTTATGTTAACGAAATCCGTATAGTGTACTAAAAAATTTATTTTTGCTGGTGCGGTCCCGGAGCGGATTACTAATTCGGAGTCGACCTCTTCTCTTTCGGGATACCCTGATGTTATTCGAATTGCCCGAGATGGGAGCGTTTGATCCCTACGCAGAATTTTTTAGACGTTCACTGAATTCAATTAGCCTTTGATTTAGTTCTATTATTTCTCCTTTTAAAAGAATTGTAGCTATTCTTCCCGCAGCAAATTTGTTTTCAAATTAACACGCCTAAAAAATTCGTCTCGGGAAGATTATTTACTGAATAAATTCTAGTCTATGAAAGACAATGTAATACAATTTTGATTTTTTTATCGTTCAGTGTACCTACCACAGATGAAAATTTAAGCCTTAAAAAAGGAATAATCGGTCGGTTACAAGGTTTTAGATTTATATTAAGAAGGATTTAGTGTACCTTTTTATTTTCTAAACGAGAAATAATGACCGAGTTTGGTAGTAAAGCTGTCGTATTAACTCGCGTATTTGATGTCTCCTTCCGAATTAAACGTCTTTCACACTTGCGTGAAGAGCGTTATAAAATGTTTATTATCGAACGCGGGGCTCCCGAATTTTATACGAGAAACAAGCTTGAGTCGATGAGCATACGGAATTCGAAGAGTTCCAGAAAGAATATTTTTTAAATGGTACAATTCGCGCCGATAAATAATTCAAAAGTAAATTTGCTGTTAAAATTATAATCGTAAATGCAAATCCCTAACAGCTAGATTTAACATCATAAATCATCGTTCGGACGAGGTAAATCGATATTTTAAATTATTTCCAATTCGAAGTCTTCCACAAAAGTTTCACTGATTTACGATTTTCTTTAACTAATTCCGAATTTTCCCCACTTTTACATTCGAATTAACCCCGAATTTTTCACCGGACTGAATATAACCCGAAAGCGTCGCCATTAATTACACGTATATAAAATTAAACGAAATTCTTTTAGCCGGATAGAACATTAAAATCTAATTCTCAAACGCTCCAACGCTGCGCCAAAGTTTTATTTTTTATTCGCTTTGACCGAGAACTGTATGAGGACAGGCACCTGCTCATTAATGTTGCGGCTATACTCCACTAACTTTCCTTTATACG